GGCAGGGGCGGGAGAGGGTGCCCCACGGGCCGCGGGCGCCAGGGGCTCCGGACGGAGATCTCCGCAGGGCCCGCTGGGATCGGACGTTCTAACGCATTCCGGCCGGTCCACCAGCCCTGGGTGTGCATTACGAAACCGGGGTCCCCCAGTGACAAGCGGGCTCCCCTGTTTCTGTGAAGCACTTTCGGTGACAGCAGAGGCAAGTCCAAATGACCAAAGTGAAGGTGGTTATTGCACTGGCTGGTTCCGACAGTAAAGGCATTTGAAAGCCTTTTTACGGTGCACGCGATAGACTTACTCCTGCATCTGTGGTGCACGGTTAGACCTAGAAACGTGTACCTGCGACGAGCGTGTGTGGATATGCACTTCCGAGGACCAGAATAACTCAAGACTGCAATTCTGTTCAGACGGAACATAAAGGTTAATAAGGAAAACTAGAGTTCTTGAACACGGGTTCTGTAATAAGGCGTGAGCAGTTCGTTTTTTTGGTGCTTTACTAGGAGAACTACTCAAGGATGTCAGCCTTAAAAATAAAATTGCCACTTACCTTGCCAGGGAAAATGAGTTTATTCGGGAATAGCAGAGGTGTTGCAGCTCGAGACTGCAAATTCCCAGGCACAATAGGCAAGTCCAGAGAACAAAGGAGGGGAGTGTTACTTTATAGAGAAAAAGGAGGAAGCTGGGAGGGGCCGTTATGAGCCAAAGTCCATTCAAGGACAGTCAAGGTGGCTTCTCATTGGCTGAGTGTGGTGGTCTTTCATTGGCTGGGCTGTTGTTGGGCCAGGAGAAAACCTTCCTCCTGCCTCTGTGGTCAAATGTGCTTTTTTTATTTTTATTTTTTTAAACTATATTTTTAATTTTTTATGTTTTTATTGATTTTGAGAGGGAGAAGAAGGGAGAGGGATAGAGGCTTAGAAACATCAATGTGATGAGAGAGCATCATCGATCAGCTGCCTCCTCCATACCCCACAGTAGGGATCAAGCCTGTATCCCAGGCATGAGCCCTGACTGGGAATTGAACCATGACCTCCTGGTTCACAGGTCGACACTCAAACCACCGAGACACATGGCCGGGAAGGACAAGGTAACTTCTTCCTGCTGGAGTCTGCAGATGTCAGTGAGTATGGTACATGAGAGCCCCCCCTTCAGAGCTTCTCACACCCTGATTTTAATGAGGTTTCCTTTATTCATTTTTACAGGGGATGGACAGAGTGGGTAGGGCCTGGCTAGCCTGGTGCCGGGTGGGGGCAGGCGGGGCACAGGCTAGACTCCAAAATCAAGTCAACTGAGGGGGCTTAGGCATCTCTCAGGACCCCTGCCTGTTTCCTCGTGTGTGAGATGGAGAAGAGGAGACACACACGGGTGGAGAGCCCAGTGTAGAGCCCGGGACGTGGTCAGCATGCCATCAGTGTTAGCTTCTCTTATTCAGGAGTCGTGTGACATTTGAACATGACAGAGAAGCTCAGTGATCTGGAGCATAAATTAACCACAGGGGAAAGTGTTGCAACAGGCCAGTCACCTGCTTCAGGTTGCTGTCTGAGAGAAAGGAAAAACCTGTCTTTGCGGTCAGCCAGTGAACAAGCAAGCCCTTGACCCTGCCTGAGGGCCAACCACCAGCTCCAGTATCAAAGGGCCAGTAGTCGACAAGTAAGTAAAAGTGAAGACTCCTGGGACATCCTCGGATGGGCCATGAGTCACCCACCATCAGCAGGCTGGTCAGGTTGTTCTCATGGTGGCAAAGCTCTGTGCACAGGGCTTTTCCAGCCTCTGCACCACGTTTACTAAGGTCCCTTTGGCCCAAAGCAAGTCGCAAAGGGACACATGACCCACCCTGTGGCCATCTTTGACCGGCCCTCATTTAGTATTACAGTATTTAACTCAGGGACTGCCCTTCAGTCGGAGCTGCAGGTGTGCATCTCATCCTCTCCCCAGCAGCAGTAGAAGAGATGTGATGTGACCAGGCCCTACATGCTGGTGGCTTGTTACACCTCACCAGTGTCTGCTCTAAAACTAATGCACCTGCTGAGGTGAGATGCTGATAGCTTAGATCAGGTGGTAACATGGAAGTGGAAAGAGTTAGGGTGTTTTTGGAAACAGACTCATGAAAACAGAAGCAATCTCCTAGGAGATAGAAAAGAGGAGAACTTGGACCCAGACCTGGAGAACACCAACCATTAGAGTGGAACACATCGGGAGCGAGCAAAAGAGACTAAGAGAACCCAGGAAGGTTCAAGGGCCCAATGGGAAAGGGCGTTTCAAGAAGAAAAGATAAGTCAGTAAAATGATAGAAGTCTAAATAAAGTGAGGACAGACAATCCATTGGATGTGGCAATGCAGAGGTCATGGTGACTTTGATAAATTCTGTGGAGTGCTGGGGACAGGATTGATTGAAAGAGCGAACACTCTCCACATATTGTGAGGCTAACATAACCGAAGGGAAAAGACATATGGACCAACCACTCTCATAAACCTATATAAATCATTTAAAAAATCCTAAACAGAACATGAAGCAAATCATTTTTTTTATAAATTCTGTGGAGTGCTGGGGACAGGATTGACTGAAAGAGCGAACACTCTCCATCACATATTGTGAGGCTAACATAACTGAGGGGAAAAGACATATGGACCAACCACTCTCATAAACCTATATAAATCATTTAAAAAATCCTAAACAGAACATGAAGCAAACCAAAATCAAGTAATACATAAAATGATAACAAGGATATATGACCAGGTTGGATTTACCCAAGAATATAATTCTGTTTTAACACTTAAAAATCTGTGAGTGTGAATCACTGCATCAGGAGATCAAAAAACACCTGTGTAATCAGCAGCAGATGCAAAAAAAGTTTTGAAGACCACCCAGCACCACTCATGTTGAGAAAAATGAGCTCTGAGGAAACCAGGAATAGAAGGGAACTTCCTTCACCTGACCAAGGTGCCCACAAACACCCACAGCGAACACCCCACCTGGTGAAATGCTGGGAACATCCCCTTGACATCGGGAACGGAAGAAGGATGCTCAGCATTGCCATGGAGCCTAAAAAACGGAGCACCAACAGCAACGGGATAAGATGTACCAAGATTGGGAGGGAAAAAAGAAAAAGTCACAGGTAATAGGATTACATATGCAGAAAATTAAAAATAATCTAGAGCTAATTTGTTAGATTTAATAAAAATCTAGCAAGATTACTGAGTACAAAATCAACACACACACACACACACACACACACACACACACACCCCTACACATCAAGAACAAACAACATGTAATTTAGAAAAATGATCCTGTTTACAATAGCAACAAAAGCATGAGTTAGGAAGAATACACCTAACAGAAGAAGTGTATGATCATTAAGGAGAAAAAAATTTTTGTAAATGACTGAGAGCAGGAGACTGTAGAGACACAGTATTTGAATAGATAAGAAGGCCTCAGGGCCACAGATGTCATCTCTCCCTAAAATTACCTAAAGAGTCGATGGAATTCTGACCGACATTCCAACAGGAATTTTTATTCAAGTTGACTGGTTCTAAAATATATAACAGGAAGGCAAATGGCCTAGAAGAGCCAAGACACTCCTAAGGAAAAAGAGGGTATGGGACTTGCACCCGCAAAAATCAAGACAAACTTTTAGGTGTAGTAAGTCAAGCCATTTGTTACTGGCTCAAGGATGGACACACTGACGAAGGAAACAGCAGAAAGGCCAGAAACATGCCTCACATATTTCTATATATGACAGATGAGGCACTGCAGACCAGTAGGTAAAGGAACCGCTTCAGTACGTGACAGCAGGACACTTGTTTCTCCATTTGGGGGGGAAAATGGAATTAGGTGTGTACCTTATACCCTGCTCAGGACTCAGTCCAGATGAACTAAGGAAGACAAAACTTTTTAAATATTGGTGAATATCTTTATGACCTTGGGGAGGAAAGATTTCTTAAGGGACAAAAAGTGCTAACCACATGAGGTAAGACTGATAAATTTGATCATATTAAACTTAAGAACATCTGTTCATTATAAGATGTATTAAAGTAAAAGTTCACACAACAAATAGGGAGAAGATATTGGCTATCCATATAACTGTCAGAGGATTTGTATCCAGGATATGTCAAGGACTACTGGTATGTATCCACTTAGAAAAGGCAAACGACTTAATGAAAGATGGACAGAAGACTCGAACAGCAGAGGAAACACGAATGGCCAATAAGCACATGAAAAAGATGTTCAACCTCATCAGTAACGGGAAATGCAGGTTCGGATCGCAGTACCACTATTTCACACCCGGTAGTGGGTTGGTAAAATTTAAAAGACTGATGGTATCAAGTGTTGGAGAGGTTGTGGGTCACCAGAATCCTTAAACGTTGCCAGTGGGAGCTGCTGCATTTGCAACCACTTTGGAAAAACACTTGTCTCGTAAAATTGAATATTTGTGTACCTCACTAGCCAAGGATCTCTCTCCTAAACACGCACCTGGGGAAAATACTTCCGCGTGTGGTCAGGAGACAGACAGCAGCCATGTGCAATGGCCATGTTCACAATATCCAACTACCCATTTACCGGGGAAAGAGGAAACGTGTCGGGGTAAATCCACGCACTGTACACATTGTGAAATGGTGACTGACAGTCAGTGACTCAACTGTGGCAACGCCCAACAAGGGTGAGTCTTGAAAATAAAATTTTGGCTGAAACACAAGCCATTTCGTAGAGCCTAGAAACAAGGAAAAGTAAGCCCAAGAAAGTAGGCACACATACACCTACAACATATGTATATATTATTATGTCTACATATATAGTTTATTGTGTGTACACATGCACTAGTATATATGTACACACACATATACAGACATCTGCACACATAATGCATTCACAAGTAAGGGAGTGATCAGCAGTTTCAGGGGGAGACCTCCTCCAGCAGGCAGACAGTGGGGGACTGGGTGGGGGAAGAGCCTGCAGACCAAAGTTACTGAAGACAGCCTCAGTCCTGAGCAGGCAGAGGTCACGTATGATGCTTCATAAGTTATGTATATTTACATGTAACCTTTCGGTAAGTCAAGTAGCATAGTAGGTATATTTTAAAATGTAAATTTTAAAAGAAGAAGAAAGATTGGCAAGACAAGCATCAGGCAGGGGGAAGTCCCCCTTGATAAGGTGTCGAGACTGGTAACACTGTAGTCTTGGCATAAGAACTAAACAGTGCGCGGGAACATGGGGGTTTGGCTCACTGAGCAGATGGGCTGTTCGCCGTCTCGAGCTGGTTGGCCGAAGCCCTGTGCTCCACATTCTCCTCATCGAAGACCCAGAGAGACTCCGTAAGGCCTCGTGCACAGGTGTGTGCTCAGGGAGGGGGCTTATTTGGGTGGCAGAACGCCCCAGAGAGATGGCCTCCGAACCACTGCCTAGGGCAGTGATGGCGAACCTTTTGAGCTCGGCGTGTCAGCATTTTGAAAAACCCTAACTTAACTCTGGTGCCGTGTCACCTATAGAAATTTTTTGATATTTGCAACCATAGTAAAACAAAGACTTACATTTTTGATATTTGTTTTATATATTTAAATGCCATGTAACAAAAATCAACCAAAAAAATGAGTTCGTGTGTCACCTCTGACACGCGTGTCATAGGTTCGCCATCACTGGCCTAGGGCCTGGCATCCCCCTACCCCCTGTGCCTCTGAGGCCTGTGTGCCCGGTGCTTCCTGGGGGGTCCCGTGATCCTCCCAGCATCCCTCCAGGAGCCCCACTCTGGTCAAGGCAAGCAGTGGAGGGAACTGGAGAACATGAGAGAAGCAAGTCTCTTCTCAGGGGAAGGTTCAAGTGACAAAAAAGTCTCAGGGAAGAATCTCATGTTTGTCATCGTCCCCTGGGGGGTATCGGCCAGGGAGAACTCATCAGTGAGGGTGTGGGGTCACTGCAGCCCATGTGGATCAGGCCAGGACACAGTGTGGAGGGGTGGGGGCGGGAGAACATGAGGGCCTAGAGGGGGTCCTGGTGGCCGAGCTGGCACAGGCCCAGAGCAGGTCCCAGACTCCCTTCTGTCCAGGGTCCAGGACCTCAGGGAAACCCAGGCACACATTCCAGAAGGATGAGAGCATCATAGTCTATGCGGGTTTGTCTGAATGGCAGACATGCATAAGCCCAGCTCGTCTTGCTTTCTAGAATTCCACTTCTATTTTTGGTGGAATATAAAAGCTTCGACTATTTCCCAAAATGGAAGAACATATTTTTTCCTTGACTGCCTTATAGTATCTTGGTTGCCCATTCAGTCTGTGGGTGCGGGGTGAGGCCCCCTGTCCCGGTTCCCAGAGCAGGGGCTGGCTGAGTGCACCACGACGGCTTTCCCGAGCCCAACGTGTATTTCATTTCGGTGTTTCATGCTCGGCATTTAATCCATATTCCACAGGCGGCTTTGCAGGAGGGCAGCAGGCATGCCCACCACCCTGTAATGGGGTGCCAGGGCAGCTTCTCGGTGAGGATTCCAGGCCTCAGGTCACAGCCTGTCCCCCAGGAGGAAGGGAGAAGAGGAGGGGGAACTGGGACAGTCCGCCCTCTCACTGCATTGCCCTAAGCACATGGGTGGCGGGCACTGGGCACTCTTGTTATGAGTGGAGGTAGTTTAACAGGCTGCTTCAAGAAACTCTCAGCCCCCATCAGGCTGGTAAGTGTAAGCGAAGGTGCCCAGCTTGGCTCACTCCCATTAGTGTGTCAGCCTCTGTCACAACCGGTTGATTGACAGAAGGATCTGAGTTTAATTATTTTAAAAAACCTTTCTAGAAAGTAACAGAAACTTGCTAACATCCTATCTAATAAAGAGGGAATATGCTAATTGACCCTCGTGCCGTCACAAAGATGGTGGCGCCCACAGCCAATAAGGAGGGAATATGCTAATTGACTGCCATGCCCTCAAAGATGGAGGTGCCCACAGCCACAAGATGGCTGGCAGGAGAGGGCAGTTATGGGCAATCAGGCCAGCAGGGGAGGGCAGTTAGGGGTGACCAAGCCAAAAGAGGAGGGCAGTTGGAGGGAGGGGACCAGGAAGGTAGGGGAGGGCAGTTGCGGGGGGACCAGGCCTGCAAGGGAGGGCAGTTGGGGGTGACCGGGTCAGCAGGAGAGTGGTTAGGCATTGATCAGGCTGGCAGGGGAGTGGTTAGGGGGTGATCAGGCTGGCAGGCAGAAGCGGTTAGGGGCAATCAGGCAGGCAGGCAGGTGAGTGATTGGGAGCCAGCAGTCCCGGATTGTGAGAGGGATGTCCGACTGCCAGTTTAGGCCTGATCCCTGTGGCAGTCGGACATCCCCCGAGGGGTCCCAGATTGGAGAGGGTGCAGGTTGGGCTGAGGGACACCCCCTTCCAGTGCACAAATTTTGCTCACTAGGCCTCTAGAGTTAAAATAACACATAGTTCATGTTTCACCCAAAAAAGAGCCTGAAGCAAGTTTACCAGAGAAGCTCCCCCCACCTCTGTTTCTCAGCAATGTCTGGCAGGCATCCTACCCCAGCCCATCAGACCCTCTCATGCTAATTATAACCCACTTAGAGGCCTGATGCACAAAATTTGTGCATTCAGGGTGGGGGGTTCCTCAGCCCGGCCTGCACCCTCTTGCAGTCCTGCAGCAGGACATCCTTAGCACTGCCATGGAGGTGGGAGAGGCTCCCACCCCCACCGCTGCGCTCGACAACGTGAGCCCAGCTCAAGGCTTTTGGCCAAGAGGCGCTCCCCCTGTGGGAGTGCACTGAACAACTGCCCCCTGGTGGTCAGTGTGCATAATAGTGACCAGTCATTCTGCTCTTCAGTTGATTTGCATATTAGCCTTTTAATATATAGGACTAGGGGCCCAGTGCACGAATTCGTGCACCTTGAAGGACTGTGGTGGGCACAGGGGCGGGTCTTAGCCCATCCTCTGCATTCCCACCTGGCCCATCCTGCCACAGCCCCCCGGTCCCCTATCTGCCAACAGCCCTGCTCCTACTGCTGCCACTCCCACACACTGAAGGCACCGGCCCTGCTTACACATGCTGACAGCATGGAGTGATTGGGGCCGGCGCCATAAGCAGGTGTGAGCGGAGGTGCCAGAAGCCGGTCCATCCTTGCTGCTTGACACAGTCGTTACAGGGAAGAAACATCTGCCCAGCATATGTTTCAAGGGACCTGGCGTATATGGCATACGGTTCTTAATATGTTTGCTCACCGCAAAGCACAACATCATTTTCTGGGACAGGGCCAGTCATCTCCTGATTTCGTATTGACTGCTTAGTTATTTAAAAATCCATAAGGAGAGAACTTGGCTGGAGAACCTGGAAAGAGAACCCTAGGCTGCTGATCAACTGAACGCTGTCTCCACATCATTCCTTCTTCGCCGACTTCGTGCACACCTTTGGGGACCCCTGGACCTGCTGGGGTTGGGCCCCAGCATGGAGGCTGCTGCCTTGATTGCCCCTCAGGAGCAGGGGGAGGTAGAGAAGCCCTGAGGGGCAATCAGGGCCAGCAGCCACCGCTCACACCCGCTGATGGCACCAAGCGATCAGGGCTGGCACCGGGTGCTGGCTGTGGGTGTAAGTAGGGCCAGTGCTGGCAGCAGGTGTGAATGCCTGGCAGGACTGCAGTGCGTGGGAGCAAAGAATTTTCAGTAACCACCAGAGGCTTGCCCCAATGACAGCGACCTGCGCCCCACCTTGGTCTGGCGCCCCTGCTCACCTGCTCTACCATCCTACTCTGGCCGATGCCTGCCATGTTTTGCGTGCACCCCTTTTAGTCAGCGCACTTCATAGCAACTGGTTATTCGGTTGTTCAGTTGTTCGGTTGTTCCGCCATTCGGTCTATTTGCATATTAGTGTTTTATATAGATTGTATTGGCAGACAGTTTACCTATAGTAAAAAGCAAGTACCTCAGTGGTCTCGCTGGATAACTTGTGACAGGTATATACACTGTATAACAAGAATCCTGATCACATTACAGCAGCTGCCCTCAGCCCCAGAAAATCCTTTTTAAGTCAAGCCAAGAGGAAGCCATTCTTGACATCTCTGACCTGTGGTGTGTCTATTTCTGGACTCCATTCTGTCCCTTCACCTGTTGTTTCCGTGGCTGCCTTGATTCCTGTAGCTTCGCAGCCAGAGCTGCTGTCAGTCCCAGAGGCTCTTTGTCAGCTCTGTTGGGGCTCCTCGGAGCCCTTTGTGTCTCCATCACACTTTTAAAATCAGCTCCTCAATTTCTACAAAAAAAGCCTGCTGGGATTTTGATGAGGGAGACATTGATCAGGAGGTTATTTTGGGGAGAAAGACGCTAAAAGGTGCTGAGTCTTCCCCCTCATGGTCGTGGCACGTATCTCTGTTCATTTACTGCTTTCATTTCTCTTGGCAGCATTCTTTGGCGTTTTCGGAGTAGAAGTCTTACATATCTTTTTGTTAAACTCATTCCCACATACCTTATGTTTTTTGCTGCTCCTGTAAACGGTGTTTTTAAATTTAACTTTCCTCTTGTGCCTTGCTAGCATTTATAAGTGAGATTGGTTTTGCTTGTTGGTGTATCTTTGCCTTCTCTATGTTCAGTTACTAATTCCATTGCTTTTTGTGGGTTTTGAGGGATTTTCTA